AAAGTGTAGCTAAATCGATGTTACTCACAAGCTGTGGACTGACAGTAGCAGAATAACAGAGCTTGAGACCTGCTGCAAGTGTTATTTTTTTCGTGAATACGCGCGGAGTGTATCATTCCATTGATAGAAGGGGAGAACAAACAGTGGCGAACCTCATTAAGCGTACACTGAAAGACCTGCTGCAAGTGTTGAGTAGGCAAAAACCTGTTAACACTTTAGAAGGGCGGATGATGACATTTATAGCTGACTAAAAGAGAGGCGATTGTGTAACATCACTGCTGTGCATTAACGAATCGCAACATCAGTCTTACAAGGTGCTGTATACAGGTAGGCTCGCATTGTCAGAGGCCAACTCCAAACAAATAGACACATAAATAAAGGATACTAAACAAGAAAGACCGAAATACTCTTCACTACTACGTATTGCGTACCTATTATATAGAACTGCAAGGTTTGCTACCGCACCGCCTGCTGTTCCTCGTCGCATGTCACCGGTGTAATAGTTGAGCTCGCGACTGAGAAAGTGTCTGCACATCTTACACACCAGACGAGATGAGATGAGATCGATCGATAAAGCTCAGTATCCATCTTTCTTCTTTCTAAGTCGACTTGTGCAGGCAGGCAGGCAGCCTTACATTTACATAGTAGGAGTAGTAACGCTTTTCAGACGGTGGCGTTCTTGCCGTTGGCGATGTTGTGGTGGTGGTGGTCGTCGTCGTCCATGTACCTCTTCCAGAACCAGTGCTGCTTCCACACCTTGTCGGTCATCTCCTCGATGGGCACGTTCTTGGTCTCCGGGAGGAAGAAGAGCACGAAGACGGACATGACGAGCACCCACGCCGAGAAGAAGATGAAGATGGCGAACTTGAGGTGGCAGAGCATGGAGAGGAACGCCTGCGCGATGAGGAAGGTGAAGAGCAGGTTGACGCACACCGTCACGCTCTGCCCGGCCGACCGCGTCTCCAGCGGGAACGTCTCGCTCGGGATGAGCCACCCCAGCGGGCCCCAGGACCAGGCGAAGGACGCCACGTAGGTGCACACCATGACCACCACCAGGATGGCCCACCCGTGGCCCAGGTTGTCGGACCTGTCCGTCACCTTGATGCCCAGCACCACGGCGATCACCACCTGCGACAGGAACATCTGCACGCCGGCCTCCAGCAGCAGCGCGCGCCGCCCGGCGCGGTCCACGGCGTACACCGACACCAGCGTGGCCAGCACGTTGACGGCGCCGGTGATCACCGCCGAGTAGAGCGACGCGTCGCTCTTGAACCCCAGCGTGTTGAACAGCACGGGGGCGTAGAACATGATGGCGTTGATGCCCGTGAACTGCTGGAAGATCTGGAGGAGCACGGCGATGACCAGCTGGGGCCGGTTCCGGCGCTGGAGCAGGTTGCGGAACGGGTGCTTCACCTCCTGCGCGATCCGGCTCGCCTCCACGATCTCGTTGAACTCCGGCTCCACGTTGTCGGTGCCGCGGATGCGCTTGAGCACCGCCCTGCCCTCCTCCAGGTGGCCGCGCTCGATGAGGCTGTTGGGGGTGTCGGTGACGAAGAGCGCGCCCAGGGTGAGCATCGCCGCCGGGATGCCGGCCAGCGACAGCGACAGCCGCCAGCCCCACGGGTGGATCTTGCTCGTGCCGTAGTTCACCAGGTTAGCGAACAGGATGCCGATGGTCACGTTCAGCTGGAACAGGATGTTGAGCCCGCCGCGGATCCTCGTCGGCGCGATCTCCGACAGGAACAGGGGAACGGCCTGCACCACCACAGTTCGTTTCGTTAGAAATGCAAGATGAAATTCAGAAACGTGAAATCACGAAATGGGTCATCAAATTCAGATGGCCTTAACGAGGCCCATTGGGCCCAGAAGGTTCTCTTCCATTTTTTTCTTTCCTTTTCTTGGGATATCTAAAACAAATCACCTAGCATGCTTTCCTACGGTCAAGAAAAAAAATCAGTGACCGTACAAATAAAGTGTCGGAAGCGCACCAACCTATCACCATCGGAATCTCTTAATCAGTGGGTCTAATCAGAAGCGGTGGAATTAAGTAATAAAATATTGTTGGACTAATGATCTACTACTCCTGCTCGAGCTAGTTCTGGCACACATGCATGTTGTCTTGGCTGCCTCGTATAATTGAGTCTAGACGCCTTTAAAATATACACAAGTACGTTATGTTATTATTTTTGTACGTTAGTGTGTGCATAATTTGCAAACTAATGCCCAATCAGTGCGTTGATCCGTGTAGTAATCTAACGCATCACTAGCGCACAAATTCTTGGTATTTTCAATCGAGAAAGCTACCCGCTCTGAGGTCTACAGTCCATAGACGCATTGATTTTTTTCTCAGTGTTCGACAAGGAAGGAACCAGAAGAATCCAAGCGAAGTGCACCTCCAAGTCAAGCATCAAAGATACAATTTTGGTCCAGGCCCAAGTTTATGTAGAACTACTCTATCAACTAGGCTCGCTACATATTGCGACCCGTGTGGCCTATAAGTGAACAACCACACCTGCTTGCTACTACTAAAAGAGTGTTGCTACGCACACGATAGATTTGCGCCCCGAGGCATGAACGATCCTAAGATTTGAACGTGCAGGAAGAATCGTTTACGGATCGTGCGGAAAGTATCGTCCGTGAAGCAATTTCGCTACTAAAATCAAAGTTTCGACAGCCAAAAACAGAAGAATCCAAAGCTGTTGTGTTTGTATATTCTACAACTAGTCCAAGTTGATAGCAACTTGGGACAACGAGCGAGAAGGGCAGCCACACCAGCAGAGTCTGCTGCAGACTAGTACTAAAACCAAGAGAAGCCAAGGAGATAAGCTGCAAGCGCACACCTATCACCTGTTGGTTGGCCCAAGCTTCTCCTACCGTTTGGTCCAGTAATTTCTAAGCCTGGAGTCGCGGCCAGCATCGGAATCTTGGAACTTAACAAGTTTATCGCGAGAGGTGAGGCGATGCCACCAATGGAAGGTGTCCTCGTGCGCCAACACGAGTCATGCACCGTCACATGGTTTCTACATTTGACCCCTAAATTCCGGGAAACACGAGAGGGATACGACGTACCTACATACTGCAGCTAGCGTGAGTACATATTTTCTCAAACCAGCCACCGCTAGCTTTACATGTTTGACTTCGGTTTCTACCGAGACCGTTTGACTTAAGTGACCTAGGAGTACGTACGTATCAAATGTTGCTGCCTTAACGTACGTAAGGCTAGTCATAGTGGGAGTAACTTAGGTAGTAACATACCGCACTTTGATTTTTTTTTGCTTATGTGGCATGTAGTTAATGAGAAGTAGTAACATAATATGTTACTGTAACATAGCGCTTTCCAAGATAAAATGAGTCTACAAGCCATTAAATAAAGCCACATATGACACTACTAATATGTTATTTTGCACTATGAAGGTAGTAACTTAGACTAGTGTCGTATGCATGACACTAGTATGAGTTATTCCCCACTATGACCAGCCTAATCTTGCTTACTGATATTGAAAGATAAACAATTCTGAAGCTGGTGGAATTTTGTGCTGACCTGGTTGGCGAAGCCGACGCCGCAGCCGAGCAGGATCCTGCCGATGATGAGCATGGCGAGGTTCTGTGCGGCCCCGTTGAAGATGACGCCGATGATGAAAAAGACGCCGGCGATGAGCATGGTGAGGCGGCGGCCGAGGCGGCGGGTGGTGTAGGAGGCGAAGAAGGTGGCGGTGAGGCCGGCGAGGTAAAGCGACGACGTGAAGAGCTGCAGGCCCTGGTTGTCGTACTTGCAGTAATTGCTCTCCTTGTCCTGGTTCTTCCGGCGCAGCACCGCCGGGAAGAACTCGCGCAGGAAATCGTCCATCGACGTCACTCCGCCTGCAAAAACAAACAGTTTTTAGACCTTAGAACTGGTTGTTAATCGAGCTGGACGCTGTGAAAGGAATGGATAAAATTTTATTAATTGGTTTTAGTAAGAAATTCATTAACTATAGAGTAAACCAAAAGGCAACGTGTCCATACAGAAACAGCTTTGTTGAATCAGACGTGATCTGGAGGTGTACAAATGGGTTGACTTAACAGCCTGACAAAGTAGGTGGCAAGATGGCAGCACTTATATTTTTTCTTCCAAATACAGTACTAATATAATATTAGTTCTTATATATACGGGGTATCAATCAGACAATCACAGAATCAGACAGCTAGCACAGGGGCGAGTATATATGATCCTGGCCAGAAAACCGGATAGTGTTCACAATGGAGTAAATTGGAAAGAGTTTGAATTATCAGCTGGCCGGTGCGTGGTAGTTAATGAGGAGGATCAATTGCACCAACTTCCTTCCAATTATCTGTGGTTATCTGCCTCGTCATATGAGGAAGACGAGAGACGGCTGCCACAAGTAAACATCATATCCATATCCATGGAGTCAAATAAACTCCTCTCTTCCATGCTGGCTCCAATGGGATCATGGGAGCGCACGGATGAACATACGCGCGAACGCCGACGTTTATGGATCCCTAGACGCTAAACCATGCATGTGAGGCAGATTTGACATGATTTCCCAGAGCCACTACGGGAGCACGTACGCAACGCAACGCAAGCACATGCATGGGCGGAGACGATCGATCGCAGGAAGAAGTGGATGGACATGTGGAGTATGGGGTTACCTGAGATGCCGACGTCGTAGCCGAACATGAGGCCGCCGGTGGCCGCCATGATGCAGGAGATGATGACGATGGGCGTGATCTTGGCCTCGAACTCCACGCCGGAAGGCGCCGACACGGCGAACCCTCCGCCCGGCATCTTCGCACGCCGGCCGGTCAAGCTACACGAGGGACGAAATAATACAATGGAGGCGAGACAAGCAGCGAGTGTTTCTCCAGAGAGCCACACGAGGAGAGGCGAAGGAAGGGGATTGGAGATGGGACACAAGGCTCCAAGTCCCCGGGGTATATATAGGGAGGGAAGCCCACTCGGCTAAGAAATTTCAAACGCAGCCGAGCGGCCAGATCAGGCCACGTCGCCTCCAGCCAGGATCCTCCGGTGGGCCCCGCACGACGGCTTTCTCCCTCGCAGCCCGCTGGCTGGCCGGTCAACGGACGGCTCCACGGCCCACGGGCCAGAGCGTGCACGACGACTTTTCCGTCCGTCCCACAAATTATGGCTTATCCAAAAAACCAAAACCCTTCTAGTAGGCCTTTATGGGCTCCTTTTTTTGGAAAAGAAAACTGGAGAGTGGTTCGGAAAACCCTGAGGATATTCTCTTATCGGACGCCGACCTTCTTGACAACGAGATACCTAGATGTTGGGCCCACATGTCGGTGAACGATCCTTCTGAATTTTCGGAGTGTCAGCAACGGGCGTAGCTTCCTTGTTGCTGGGTTGATTCATGTGAATGGAGGACCTTGACTTTGAACGTTACCATTTTAACGAAGTTTATACGTCACGTGGGGATGGATTCGCTTGGGAAAATTATTATGTGTTGGTCGATGTGGATGGCAGTATAGTACATGCAAGCACAACAAAATTGACTCCTGGTCGGCGTTCGCCGGCGATTACCACAGTGCGTGCGTGCGTGTACTTTTCCACAGGGGAAAGTGGTGTCGGCCAAGTGGTGATAGTTTATGTATACAGATTTTGTACCATTAGCGATTTTGTCAGAGATACGATCGTAGTACAACATACGGCTGTATAAATATGCCGCTGTCACGACGTCGACCAGGAGCAGACTAGATCAAATCTCACTTCCAGCTAAGCCTCGCCGACATGGTATGACACAGCACATGGTAACGTTCCAAATTACTAGTATTCTAAACTGCTCCATTATCTTTGTAAATCAGTTCGATCTCGCATACTTCTGAGAGACACGACGCGGATTAGGACTAAACAACGCAGCTAAGTAAGTATCCACGTTAGGCTCACGGGAAATGAACGCATGCCGTGGAATTAGAGCATGTGGGCTAACGACCGGTCGCCCATCCAAATATGAAATAACAATCTCTGCGCGAAATCGAATTTCGCTTTGATCTTTATATGCATCCAGCAACCCAAGCACATTTGCACGTTCTCACCGGCCGATGCTGCCCAGTTCATACTGTCACAAATAAGATAAGTCAACTCATCTTATCGACTGAATATTCAACACCCCAGAAACCCTGCAGCCCCGGCCCCGAATAATGCCGTCAGGGGAATCAAATGTTTTTCATTGAAAAGGAAGTACACCCATGATCAAAAGAAAGAAATCGAACGGATGATTCGGCACGGTTTGCACGCGAGAGCTCCCAACCGTTTGGGAATTTTAAACGGCGTGCGACGCCGCAATTTCCCTCCTTGGTTCAACCCGATGGGCCGACTGCGACGTGTTCGCAAAAGCAGAGAGGGACACGAGCGAGATGGAGCTTTTGTCCTGGGCAGGCCATGGCTTCTGCGAACTTCCTTCAGCATGCTTACGAACGAGAGCAACACTTGTGCGCAGCACAGGGTGCCACGACAACGTACGTGTTACGTGAGGATCTTTTTTACTCCCTGTATATATGCTTATATACAGTACGTAGTAAAATGTGCTGCCAGTACGCAGTCAACGCCACGCATGGATGTCTCACGTACGCACAGCACCGGTTTTCCGTATGATCTCTGAAAAAAGAACACCGTACGTTTTCCGT